GATACCCTGGATAACAATAATAATGATATTTCTTTCTGGATACCCTGGATAACAATAATAATGAAATTTCCTTCTAAATAATACTTAATGTATTTCCTTCTGAAAAATACTACTAATATTTCCTCTAAAATACCATAGATAACAATAATGATATTTTCCTCTGGATACTCTGGATAACAATAATAATGATATTTCATTCTGGATACCCTGGATTACAATAATAATGATATTTCCCCTGGATACCATGGATAACAATAATAATAATATTTCCCCTGGATACACTGTATAACAATAATAATGATATTTCCTTCTGGATACCCTGGATAACAATAATAATGATATTTCCTTCTAAATAATACTTAATGTATTTCCTTCTGAAAAATACTACTAATATTTCCTCTAAAATACCATAGATAACAATAATGATATTTTCCTCTGGATACTCTGGATAACAATAATAATGATATTTCATTCTGGATACCCTGGATTACAATAATAATGATATTTCCCCTGGATACCATGGATAACAATAATAATAATATTTCCCCTGGATACACTGTATAACAATAATAATGATATTTCCTTCTGGATACCCTGGATAACAATAATAATGATATTTCCTTCTAAATAATACTTAATGTATTTCCTTCTGAAAAATACTACTAATATTTCCTCTAAAATACCATAGATAACAATAATGATATTTTCCTCTGGATACTCTGGATAACAATACTAATGATATTTCATTCTGGATACCCTGGATTACAATAATAATGATATTTCCCCTGGATACCATGGATAACAATATTAATGATATTCCCCTGGATACCCTGGATAACAATAATAATGATATTTCCTTCTTAATAATACTTAATGTATTTCCTTCTGAAAAATACTACTCTAAAATACCATAGATAACAATAATGATATTTTCCTCTGGATACCCTGGATAACAATAATAATGATATTTCACCCTTGATACCTTGGATAACAATAATAATTATATTTCCCCCTGGGTACCCTGAATAACAATAATAATGATATTTCCCCCTGGATACATTGGATAACATTTATAATGATATTTACTTCGGGATACCCTGGATAACAATAATAATGATATTTCCTTCTGGATACCATGTATACTAATAATGATATTTCCCCTGGATACCATGGATAACAATTATAATGATATTTCCCCTGGATACACTGGATAACAATAATAATGACATTTCATTCTGGCTACCCTGGATACTAATAATGATATTTCCTTCTAAATAATACATAATGTATTTCCTTCTGAAAAATATTACTAATATTTCCTCCAAAATACCCTAGATAACAATAATAATGATATTTCCTTATGGATACCCTTGATAACATTAATGATATTTCCCCTGGATACCATGAATAACAATAATAATGACATTTCATTCTGGCTACCCTGATACTAAAAATGATATTTCCTTCTAAAAAATACATTATGTATTTCCTTCTGAAAAATATTACTAATATTTCCTCCAAAATACCCTAGATAACAATAATGATATTTTCCTCTGGATACCCTTGATAACAATAATAATGATATTTCCTTCTGGATGCCCTGGATAACAATAATAATGATTTTTCCTTCTGGATACCCTGGATACTAATAATTATATTTTCTTCTTCACTTCTGGATATTACTAATGATGTTTCCTTCTGAATTTCTGGATAATACAAATGATATTTCTTTCTGGATGGGCGGATTGGTCGAGTGGTTAACACTCCGGCCTTCTAAGCAGGCGGCCGGGGTTCGATTCCCGAAGTCGTCGTACGTATGGAATATTCAGAGAAAGTGTTTTTCTCCTGCCCACACAACTCCAACAACCCAGGCGGAGTATAAAATGGTCTGGGGTGGATGTTGCGGTATCTGTGCTGTGGCATTCAAGTAATAAGGTGGCACTATAAATGATACCGTTTGAAGTACGGTCCCACTACAAACAGAACATAATACATTTCCAGCACACACGCAGGAATACACACATAGGGAGATATTAGCCAGGTGGCATAGGACTAGTAGTTAGCGCTTGATAAGGCAGCTCCTGCGAATTCCTCAAAATTGTATCGATTAATGTATATGTAGTTGTGTTCATTGTATTAACTGTATATCTATGTGCTGTAAAGCGCTTTAGATTGGCTTAAGTTAGCTAAATAGGGCGCTATACCAAAAGTTGTATATATAAAAAAAACAGCACATTATAATACAAATGATATTGCCTCCTAGATACCCTGGATAATGATAATAATGATATTTCCTTTTGAATATCCTGGATAAAACTTAAGATATTTTCTCTGGATATCTTGGATAATACCAATATTTTCCTTTTGGATATCCTGGATAAAACTCAAGATATTTTCTCTGGATATCTTGGATAATACCAATATTTCCTTCTAGATACCCAGGATAATAATTATGATATTTTCTTCTGAATAATACTGATTATATAATCTTCTGGATTTCTGGATAATAGTAATGATATAACATTCTGAAATTCTAGATAATAGTAAAGATATAACCCTCTGAATTTCTGGATAATACTCATGATATTTCCTTCTGAATTTCTGGATAATACTCATGATTTTTTCTCTTTTTCCTTCTGGAAACTTGAATAATTCTAATGATATTTCCTACTGGAAACTTGAATAATTCTAATGATATTTCCTTCTGGAAACTTGAATAAATCTTTCCTTTTTGATATCCTGGATAGTACTAATGATATTTCCTTTTTTGATATCCTGGATAATACTAATGATATTTCCTTTTTTTTGATATCCTGAATAATACTAATGATATTTCCTTTTTGGATATCCTGGATAATACTAATGATATTTCCTTTTTGGATATCCTGGATAATACTAATGATATTTTCCTTTTGCATCATGAATAATACTAATGATATTTTCCTTTTGCATCATGAATAATACTTATGATATTTTCATCTGAATTTCCGGATAATACAAATGATATCTCCTCCTGCATAATTCTGTTGATATTTCTTCCTTAATTCCTGGATAATAGTAATGATGCTTCCTTCTGGAAAACTTGGATAATAGTAATGATGATTCCTTCTGGAAAACTTGGATAATAGTAATGATATTTCCTTCTGGAAAACTTGGATAATAGTAATGATATTTCCTTCTGGAAAACTTGGATAATAGTAATGATATTTCCTTCTGGAAAACTTGGATAATAGTAATGATATTTCCTTCTGGAAAACTTGGATAATAGTAATGATATTTCCTTCTGGAAAACTTGGATAATAGTAATGATATTTCCTTCTGGAAAACTTGGATAATAGTAATGATATTTCCTTCTGGAAAACTTGGATAATAGTAATGATATTTCCTTCTGGAAAACTTGGATAATAGTAATGATATTTCCTTCTGGAAAACTTGGATAATAGTAATGATATTTCCTTCTGGAAAACTTGGATAATAGTAATGATATTTCCTTCTGGAAAACTTGGATAATAGTAATGATATTTCCTTCTGGAAAACTTGGATAATAGTAATGATATTTCCTTCTGGAAAACTTGGATAATAGTAATGATATTTCCTTCTGGAAAACTTGGATAATAGTAATGATATTTCCTTCTGGAAAACTTGGATAATAGTAATGATATTTCCTTCTGGAAAACTTGGATAATAGTAATGATATTTCCTTCTGGAAAACTTGGATAATAGTAATGATATTTCCTTCTGGAAAACTTGGATAATAGTAATGATATTTCCTTCTGGAAAACTTGGATAATAGTAATGATATTTCCTTCTGGAAAACTTGGATAATAGTAATGATATTTCCTTCTGGAAAACTTGGATAATAGTAATGATATTTCCTTCTGGAAACCTTGGATAATAGTAATGATATTTCCTTCTGGAAACCTTGGATAATAGTAATGATATTTCCTTCTGGAAACCTTGGATAATAATAATGACAATTCCTTTTGGATACCCTGGATAATGTTAATGATATTTCCTTCTGAATTTCTGGATAATATCAAGGATCTATCCTTCTTACTTTCTGGAAACTAATGATATACCCTTCTAGATACCCTGGATAATAATAATGATATTTATTTCTTGATACCTAGGAAAATACCAATGATATTTCCTCTGGATACCCTGGCTTTTACTGATTTTTTTTTTCATTCCCTTAAATATAACGTCGAATTACAACATCACACAAGGAATCGTTTTAATAGTTTTAATACCATTATCTAAAGTCTCTAGAATAACAAGTCATCAGATATAGAATCAGCAATAAAAAGAATAATATAAAGAAGAAAACAAATTCTACAATAAATAGTAACAAAAAGTATAATCAATAAGAAATATATTTATGATAAGACAAGTTATGTAAGTAGCTGGGTCGTCAATTATATTCATTTGAAGGTGTGCATTTATTAATTCTGGAGGCACGGTAGTTTAGTGGTAGGACGCCGGGCTCGTGACCGAAGGGTGGCGTGTTCAAGTCACGGCATGGCACTGTGTTGTATCTTTGAGCAAGATACTTTACTCCGCTTGTTCCAGTCTACTCAGCTGTAAATGAGTACGTGGTTTGGCAGTGCTAGAATTGTTGAATCCTAGCTGTTAGCGCCGAAATAGCAGCTCCGGCTGTATCCTCCCCAGGGAGTCGATGGCTGGTTTCGTATGGTCAGAATCCCTAGTAGCTTGTGGATGTCTTGCTGTCTAACACTGGGGGATCCTTGGTCTCAATAATGAGGCTAATTTATTTATTTAATTAGAACTTCTGTGGGCGTTACTCCCCTTGCATCACTATTTCTGTAACTATTTCATCTCTTTCTTTTTTTCTATTTGTTTGTAATTCTGGCTAGGAGAGGACTTATATAGGCCTCGCCTGTTGTCCAATCCTTTTGATTTTCCAATAAAATTTACTGAAATAAATATTGGCTGGTTACAAAGGCCCTTTAACCACGGATAATAGTTTGTGAACGCTTTGGGACGACCTACGAACTAGGATGTGATAAAGCGTTATATAAGAATCTCGAATTATTATTATTATTATAACAACAATGGTAAAATGTAGGTCGTAGTATTAAGGTCTGAGTGTGACCCCAATGTTATTGTGATGACATTTTTTTGTGTTATTTTTAATTTGGCATTTCATTCCAGAACTTCGAGCAATCATATTGCTGCAATTTGCAATATGTGTTTTATATGTGTTTTATATGTGTTTTATAGGGGGTTTTCTGTAGAAAATGACTCAAATGTACGAGTCTCTGTACTGTAGGTTACAAAGGGGATGTGTTCGGTCTGTATTTCAAGCGGTTCCCTTCTACTATCAGACCACTTCAATACTACAGCACCGAAATTGTAATACATAACCCAGACCATATTATGCAAAAAGCCTGAATGATTCGAACCTAACCACCGTTTGCCGAGAGCGGTGTCCGAACCTTACCATTATCTGCCGCGTGCGGTATCCGAACCTTACCACTGTTTGCCGCGTGCGTGACGTTTGGCGATTAGCCAGGATATGTTTCCCACAAAAAAATCTGAATTTCCCTATCCAAAATCACAATAAGTTTCGTATTGACCCGGCCAAGAGAAGACCAGCAATTATAGATCATTACACATGTAAATATAAACAAACTACCCGGAAGTAAGGGTTTCGTTGATCCGCTTTTATGAGCATTGAGTTCGCAGAAAAGATAAAAAAAAATAACTTCATTAAAAAAGGCAGTGATTACGTCAAGGACAAAACACAATAAACGTTTCTTCCAAACATAGCCATTTTTAATTTACCAATGTGTCATGCAATGTGTCATGCAGCACCATTTAAACAAATAATTGAACGAACTTTTAAAAAAGGCGGCAGGTGAAAAGTATTTGACTTAATGTCAGCTTTATGACAGATATTTACAAAGGGCTAAATTTTAGATTAAAAAGTATCCGTCATTATTTTTTTAGCATTTATACTTCTTAAACTGATTTCATTATGGTATGTATGGTTAGTTCAGAACACTTTTAAAACCATACTGCTTTGCTTTTCTAAATTGTGTAATATAGAATGAGCGGGCACCCATCTTTAACAAACGTAAAAATATTTTCTCACGAGACATAAAGTTCATGTTAAATATTACCGCATGACAAATATCGTGACGTTCGGGCGATTAACCAGGATATTTGTCCCAAAGAAAAATCTGAATTTCCCTATCCAACATCACAAGAAGTTTCGTATCGACCCGGCCAAGAGAAGACACGCAATTATAGATCATTACACATGTAAATATAAACAAACTACCCGGAAGTAAGGCTTTCGTTGATCCGCTATTATGAGCATTGAGTTCGCAGAAAAGATATAAAATAACATCATTAAAACAGGCAGTGATTACGTCTAGGACAAAACACAATATACTTTTCATCCAAACTTAATCATTTTGAATTTTTTAAACTTGTTATCAATCTTATGCATATTATCCAAAGGAATCGTTTTAATTATTACACACGCATCATTTGTTTTCTGTTTTATCTAATTAAAAAAAATCAGTGATTAAAATTTAACATACTTTGTTTTAAATATAATGAATACTTTGTTAAATTAAAAGGCGATTATGGTGGAGATAATGAAAGCCTACCTATGTTGTTTAATTCCCCTGTTTAATTACTACTAGATAGCCTTTAGGTACTACAGCATGCTCTACCTTGTAATAACTATATAGACTTAAAGAGGACCCACATAGGCTTTGGAAAGAGAGGATTAAACTGACTCATATCTAGGAAACTTTGTATACCTTAAAATTCACACCGCGTTGAATGTCATGGCATTCAAAAGCATATTGGAAAACCCCCATTAATAACTTATCACGTATGTTCATATCCCGTTCTTTGTATGCTACTTTGTTCCAGTCAACTGTATAATATATGACGTCTTTGTACTGAAACAAATAGTCCAAATACTGAACCTTATGCTTTAAATCGAACAACGTCTTTTACTTATATTGCAAAGAGAGAAACGAGATATCTAACGAGAGTTGAATGAGTATGTAATATAATCAGCAAGATATTGATTATACAAAATGTAAACATTGATCACGAAACTGTGGTCCCCGTAGTCCTATTTCCGCCCAACATTAATCAATTAGTTATTATTCGCCATATTGACGTGCTATGAAAATCCAACCCATCCTGGGTAGAAAAAGTCTTTGTAGTCTTTGCTAAACTGTCTCCGTAATCCCGAGCCTTCCTTGGCTGGCCACTGGTAGAAAGTGACCTCCCCACCTGTCAGCCACGCTGACCACCAACTGAACGTGCCTACCGTACTGATCATGTGGTCACACGAACCTAGAACTGCCATATCTACTGCAGCGGAATTTCCCTCGATATATTCCGAACGGATTTCTTTCGGCATATGTGTTTTTGTCCATTTCATATCATTGGAACAAATAATGAATAACGGATTAGTATACCCCTTTGATTTAAAATAGTCTACTGCTTTCTTCAGGTAATCTTCACTAGCAACCATATAACCGAATCTGTGATTTACTAAATCTCCCCGCCTCACATGAACACCTATCAAAGTCACGTTTGAACGAGACGTTAAATTGTGCTTTTTCAATACCAAATCAATCACTTTGTTTTTCTTTTCAACGGTGTCATCTTGAAACCTGAATTGTTTGCGGAGAGCAACAGAAGCATTATAGAAGTACTTCCATGACTGGAGATATGTTCCCAGCCTGTAGTTATTATTTGGTGGAAAAGAAGCCATTTTTTCATCGTATCCACAGCCCAATCTCTCTCCTCTGCCCACGTATGTTTTACAAATACCGCCATTATTGTCTTTAAGTTTAAGGTCAAGTTTGAAAATCTTTGTTAAATAATCAGTTTTTCCAACTGATACGGACATTCCCTTTTTTGCAGCTAATCCAAATATAGTCGCGAACATGAACATGTGATTACCAAGGCCACCTATAAATACGGTGCATATACTGTAGTTGGCCGGTTCGAGTGGAGCTATGTCTGTAGGAGGTTTTAGGGTCGGCATGACAACTGCATCTCTAGGTGACGAAGCATTCCTTGATATATTCCTGATGTCCGTGACGTTCGTTGACCTAACAGGTTTTGTGGCGTTGTGTGATTTCGTATTAACTATTGGCACGGAAACTGTTGTCGTAGAATATTTTGGCGTGGTCTTTTTCCCGGTGTTGGTGCTCTTTCTGATAGTTTGGGTTGACGTGACTTCACTCGTTTTGTTCATGGCCTTATTAGTATTGTTGTTGCCATGAGTATGTATCATTGGAAATGTAGTCTTCACTTTATAAGCTACTTCATTTGTATTAACTGTTCTCAGAATTGTTAGATTTGTTTTAACGAGGTACTTCAGCATTGAGGAATGCAGGTGACCGGGCCCAAGATTCAATCCTATGAACACCACCACACAGCACATAATGACGCAATAACCGAAAGCTGAAAATATAACAAAAACATATGTTTACGTGCATGTAACTTACTGAAAAAAGCACAGACAAAAAGTCCGATAGATGATGAGTTGGTGAGGCTAATCATCCCAGTTCATATCTTAGACATGCTTTAAGGATGTGTCAGCTATTTCTACTGGACACTATATACCTTCGGTCTACAGGGTGTTTAGAGTAATTTTACACGTTTTATGGGTTTAGATCAATTTTCGGTAAAATTGCTACCACCAATGATGATAATATACGAGAAGGGAGGAAACCTCTCGTATCGAAAAATCGACCCCACCTTATTTTCTTGCATCAAAAATCACATTTCTAATTAATGTGCACAAATATGCTTAGTACCGTTGGAAAGATGGATCATTTTTCTTTTAAAAAAATCCCATATTCGCGTAAAATGTATTTTCGTTCCGCAGACATGATCTCCGTTTTCTCCAAAAAGTGGCTCTATGACTGCGTAAAAACCATTGAAACTCGGAACCTAGCTTAAGTCTAAAATCAAAATATAGCTGTATATTAATTCTCAGGTCCCTGTACTTCGGTTGTCTTCAGAATGACATCAGATTGTGAGAGGCTACTACTACTGAAGACGTCATTTAATTTGTCGTCATGATTCCCCGAATTTGAGGGAAGGTACAAATGTATTATTGCGAATGTCACATGATCTGAAAGAACCACTTCCGACACAAACTGTTTCTCCTGTGGTGTTTATTAGGATTCATCATGTCATCCATCCATTTAAATATATATCTTCTGTGATATAAAATATCGTATTCTTCTTTGTGAACATATTATCAATTTTATAAAAGATAAGTAGATATGCAACGCGTTAATTAGACAGGACCACTAAACATGCAGGTCATTATATTGATTTGCATGTGCGGGTTTTGATTGGTTGTCCTTTGTACCTAATAATACAATACATTGTTTTGTGTACATCTACTTACAACGTTTGTGATCCATAAATGGATACCTGTCTCCAGTCGTCCCTGTGTTCAGCAAATCTACAACAGAGCACATACATTACAGATAAAATTATGCATTATCCTATTATAACAGGAAAGGGAGCAGTGTGCTTTCATCAGGAACCGAGCCCACGATCCCTAGGTTCCTAGTCGGACGCTCTACCACTGAGCTAGAGGGAAATTCCCTCTAGCACGAAGCTTATCGTAATCCTATGCATAATTAAAATCTGCCACACTTTCATTACTTTGATATTCCGTATACAACAATCATCAAACCTAATACATATTGTAAGCTTTAAGACAAATAACATAAAAACCAATCAAGGATGAAGAGCGCAAAAACACATGATTCCTCCGGTTGATAACTCACGATCGCGTTTACCGTTTGCCATATTTGCACGAACAGAAAGAGTATGGTACATGTATATCAAAGTTCCACCTCAAACATAAAGATCATTCCATAACGATTAGGTTCCTAGGCTGAGGAAGTGATGTCACTTGCAGACGACAAAATTCAGTCAGACGACGTTTTGACAGGATTTCAATTGTGACGTCATAATAAAACTCCGTCCACTGATTGTGACGTCATAATAGTAAATGTCACTGAGTGTACTTTCTTTCTTTCTTGCTTGTGTGAGTATGGCAGAACTGTTCAAGGTGAGACATTTCGTTCTCTAATTTCCCTGTGTGCAAGAAAGAGCTGTCAAGGGTAAGAAAGGGGTGTAAGTAATTTCTATCTTACATACCATTTCACGTGATGTGACGTCACAATGGCTCAACAATGACGTGACTTCACGAATTCGGAACTCTCCGATGCCGCAATGCGGAAAAGGCAACGTAATGAAATTAAAGCTTTTACGATATATTGACTGTACGCGTAAGAAAGATGTGATTATTTTTTCTGCGTCAACATTGTTTGCAAATATGAGATACACTAAATGTGGCTGGCTAATTCGTTTTCGTTGAAAAAAGCTCAGAGGAAAACTTGATATTTTTTCAAAATGGTGGCCAGTCCAAACGCATTTGCATGGTTTCTGAGCTTATTCTGGTGGTTAGAATGAGGGGGAAAATCTCTTTCGTGCTCAAGTGGGAAGGCTCTCTCGGGATTTTCAAATTTGTCAAAACCATCGGCAGAGCCTCGGGTTTTACAAAGTTTGAAAACCCTAGGGTGGAATTTTCCTATACTACACCCATGTGCATGAAAAAGTCTTATATTCTCTCCCATCAGACAGAGATATCAACGGAAGATAACTCCGATTTGCTGAAAATGAAACCTACGTTTGTAATTCATGAAATTTCCATTTGCATTTGATGTGGGAGAATATTATTATTCCCAACATTGGGAGTAAAACGGAAAGCCTCAACCCTCGGAGTAATATTTTACTGTCTTACCCCCAAGGTGGGGGAAATATGATGTTAAACGTAAAACCCATTTCACGCGCGTGACGTCACATTATGATAACAATGACTTGGATGGAATGTCTCTGGCATAAAAAGAGTCTTATGATAGTTGGAGGATAGTTTGGATAATAATTCTATGTGTTAACTTTTATTTTTTTATAAACTTAACACTTAATTTACTAACGTTGATTCCTTATTTTGAAAATATAGTTGTGAAATTGTGTGTCGTATCTAGTCATCTTCAGCTGTGTGTGAAATATACTCACTGTTTTATAGTAAAGTTAATGCAATTATGATATCGTTGAAATTGGCAAAAAGTTGGAATCTTTGTCACACACAACGTCTGTCATACATTACATTTTGCCTTCGTTATTTGTAATATAAGGACGATTTTACAACAAAGCACATACCTTATTAAAAAGACTTTGTCCGGATATGGCCTGTTGTTGTTTAGGTTTCGTGTTCCTTATCTATTTAAAATATACACAGACGAACTAGTACTGACACGTGACGGACCGCAGCCGTTCTCTTGCTATTGTTAGTGAAGCTTCGACATAAACTTTAATTAAACTGAACATCATGTGTAGTGTTTGTCTATCCCAATTACAAGCGAAACCCGAGCACGTACAGCTGTCACCTGTTATTAATTGAATTATATTTAATGGACGATTGTCCATGCAGACTGTGTGGTGGAACGCATAAATAACAATTTAGAAGATGTTGCTTTAAAACCGTTATATCTGTATTTTTATTAATCTTAAAAATGTCACTGTATTAATCCATATACAACTTAGTACAGTGTGTTCTCTAACTGATTACTGACAAGAGCTACTGTAGTTAGACAATGGGATGCACGTCGGGGTAATATCACCATCTGTTTCACTACCGACATGAGTACCAATTCACGTTTTCAATATAAATTCGTTTCTAGTACACGTTTCAATACCGCTTTTCTCACTTTACCTAACAAAATACGTAAATTGAATTATCCATATGACGAAGTCTTTAACAGAGGAATATTTTCTAGGAGTTTTGACGATATTGACGGTACTGACGTCAGTGTACGTTACATAGCTACATATACTGAAGTCAGTGTACGTTACATAGCTAAATATACTGACGTCAGTGTACGTTACATAGCTACATGTACTGACGTCAGTGTACGATAAACAGCTACATATACTGACGTCAGTGTACGTTACATAGCTACATATACTGACGTCAGTGTACGTTACATAGCTACATGTACTGACGTCAGTGTACGTTACATAGCTACATGTACTGACGTCAGTGTACGTTACATAGCTACAT